TCTGGTAAGATTCTCATGGCCTGTGCTTCAATAAATCTGCACAAAAAAACAAAAAAAAAGTGTATATATATATATATATAGGCTGTTGTATAATTGCTAATATTAATAGCCATGTTTCTTTCCAGTTTTACCTACATTTATTTAATTTTTAAATATTACGATTCATTTAGGCAGCTGTAAATGTACATATTTTAACAGCTTAGTTTGAGTCTGATGTGTGTCATGTTCAATTAATGTTTTCATGTATTTAAAAAAAAAGTTATCAGCACTTCTGTTAAACATTAATTAGATTCAGTTTTAAACAAGAACTGTTTTTGTTTCTCGTTTAATATTTAATAATAATGGTTTAATACAAATGTTATTTTGCCTCAGTATTTAATATTTTAGTTTTAAATAATAGGATTATTTTAGGCAGAGATATACAGTATTTACGTAATCTAAACAGCTCAGTATGAGTATTGTGTGTTTTGAGCTGAATATCAGTACTTCTACTCAATAATAATTACAAGTAGAAATAATATTTTTCAAAAAATAAAGTAAAGTTTTAATATGCATTTTTAATTTTTTAATAAATGTCTCTTCTGGTTCTGAAAGGTCTTCATAATCGGACTGATCGCAGACAGGAAGTTCCATCATTTCAATCCTGTACTGGAGACTTACATCCGCAAGCACTTCAGCGCCACCCTCGCCTACACGTGAGTAGCAAATGATGCGTGTCTGTGTTAGTATGTGCCTTGTTTTGATTTGTAACACCATGTGTGTGGATATGTTTTCAGAAAGCTGACAAAAGTCCTGAAGAACTACGTGGATAATGCGGAGAAGCTGACGGAGCAGCTGCTGAAAGCTCTGAAGGCTTTGGAGTACATCTTCAAGTTCATCGTGAGATCCCGCGTTCTCTTCAACCAGTATGTTCTTCCTTCACATTCAGATCTCTCATGTTTTGTTGTATTCATCTCACAGCTGAGCTTTAAGCACATCATGTGCTTAAGTTCTGCTTGTAGTCTGAACCAGGGAAGGTTAGGTTAGGTTGACTTGCTTTGGCAATAGGAACTTTGGGGGCTAGAAGCACCATTATCCATTGATGGCCATTAAGAAATTTAAAAATGTTGTGATTTATATTGGTGCTAGCAAAAATAAAAATCTAAATAGAACTGGGATTGAGATATGGATTAGTGTGAATATAAAAAAAAAATAAAAAAAAACAATAATAGGTTTTTGTTATTATTAATAATTTTTTGTTGTTATTTTTAAAATATTTTTTATTTTACAGTGAAATATTACAATAATTATATATTTCTGTTTAGTATTTTAGTACTTAGTTATTTAGTAATTGTTTAGTCATTATTTTATTTATTATTATTATTATTATTTACATTTACATTTATGTATTCACTTCAAAAAGAGGAACACAGCAATTTGTCAAAGATCCAACAATATTAGTAACTTTATAGCCATATTGATATATCTCAACTTTTTGGCCAAATTGTGCAGCCCAACAAACAAGCAATTTTTTCACATTGCGCAGCTTTAATATTTGCATTGTGCAGTAGGTGATGAGTGACAAAAAGCAAACAGATAATAAATGTTGACGTATCCATCATATACTCCAAAACGTATTTATTTTCCTCCTTCGTAATATGTGTGTCCCAGCCAATAAGCTGTAGTTAAGGCTAAGAGATGTGACAGGTTGATTTAATGGGCAGATCTGAAATGCCACACCTTCATCAAACCGAAGTACCCTTGTTTCCTGACGGATGGAGGATGTGTTTGAGGCGGACAGGAAGTGGAATGGGCAGCGGTGCTGATTTAGGGAGATGGAGGACATGTTGAGTAATGACTCAGCCTAAATTAAGTTCAGCTCTGGTGATTAGCTTGTTGTCTGCAGGTGAAGTATATGATGTTGTCTCTGAGGCCCGTCTGAGCGGACAATCTCAGTCCTTTAACTACCTGAACGCTCAGAGCGCCTGACACCACAGAGCGCTGTGAGAGACACTAATGAGCAGAGTCTGATCTGATTGACTTCACTGCTCGCTCACAGACTCGACCTGCTGCCGGTGTTCACCAACTCATGCCCGACCTGACCGCACACGTCTCCGAGTCAGAGATCAGCTAGACAGGGCTGCAGACTGCAATGGAAATGATGAGAAATATGGCCCAAAATAACAATTATCGTAAGTTTGAATAGCTATCAGTGTCAGACAGAAAAACTGTCGATACACGGTTTCATCAAATGTTCATCAATTTCACAGTTTACTGCAGCCCTGCTCAGGATCTTTCTATTGCATTATTCTCATTCAAATGATTCTGATGACTTTTAAACCAGCATCCAAACAACTTAAAAATGAAAAAGAATCATTCATATGTATATGAGACCCTGCAGCTGACCCAAAAGGTGCACTGGCGGAGGTGCGGCAGGCAGAAATGTCAAGCAGGAAACACCATCTGTATATTGAAATTGAAATATATATTTATTTATGTACATGTATGTATGTATGTCATACTACCATGATTAATTATTTTGCTCTTTTTTTATTTTGTGGTGAAATGACCATGAGTAATTTATGCAAAATAACATTTTTAAATATTTCTTGACAGTTTGTTTATTTTTATTTAATTATTATTGCAAAATATAATTTCTTATTTTTCTATTTGATTTTGGGGTTAAATAAGACCTCAACATTTCTTATAATTTATTTATAATTTTTTTTGATTGATTGATTGGTTGATTGACTGATTTTTGCAAAATATAATTTCTTATTTTTCGTTTAATTTTGGGGTTACATATGACCTTGGCATATTTAACCTCAACTGTTTTTAAATTGATTAAAAATTATACAATTCTACCAGATCTCCCCTTTACTGTAGTAATTAATGGGT